GTTTCCCCGCCGCTGCTCCCTGGGCGTTGCAGTTCAGCCAGCCAGCCCCTTGCCGCTGCTGCTCTACAGCTGCCGCTTCTGAGTGCTGGCCCGGCCGGCTCGCGTTGCGCCTAGTAGCTAATTAGGCTGGCCCGTGCCCCGGACCCCCTTTCGCCGCCTGCCCTCTGCTGCGCGGCCGCAACCAAAAAAAAAGTCTGCGCGCCACGCACGGCGCGGCCCTCTCCTCGCGCGCAGCGCGCCGCGGGCCGGTGCGCAGGAGGGGGCCGCGAGGCAGGCGCGGGGCATCGGCCCCGGCGAGGGCGGGCAAGGGCCCGCGCGTCCAGCGCGCCCAGCGCGGCTGGCGGGCGGGAGTCCCCGTGGAGAGCCACGACCTGCGCAGGGGGTGCGCCGGGAGGGGCGCGCGGCCGCAGGCGTCTGCGCCCGCCGAGGCCGCGGGCGGGACGCCCCGTGGAGAGCCACGATCTGCTCCATCATCCTCGGAGCGCGTGCCGGCGCCGACGTGTGATTGCCCAAGCTTTTTGGGGGGGCGTGGAGGATGGCCTCTGAGGCTCAAGCTGCACGGTGGTCCCCCGCATGCGGCATAAGTAGAGGGGCCCCAGGACACACAAATGAATACACACAAATAAAAATAGTCCCACTATTTTCCCATATTTTCTGGGTTTCTGTCTTCCCCCCCACTTCCCATGTTTTTTCTATATTTTCTGGGGAATCGCGGATCAATTGTGTCTGTGTTTTTTCCCCTCCTGAGCATCAGCGGCTATCGCGTGGGAACCCTGTACGGCCACGCGACGCAGGCGGCGCAGCGAGGGCAGGCACAGGCTGCACGCAGCGGGCGGCGCCGGACTGGGTACACACACGCTTGGGCCGACACGTGCACTGAGGATCATCGATCCGCGCGAGGGGTGTGCCGAGACGGCACTGAGAGCCCGGGTTGCGGCCCGGGGAAGCTCACCTGGGGTTGCGGCCCTGGCAGTGAGAGCCAAGGTCGGGAGGGGGAGGAGGGAAGCAAGGACAACAGGAAACGGGAGAGCCGGAAGCAGGGAGAGAGACGACAGCAAGAGCAGAGGAGCAGGAGAAGGAGGAGCGCGGGCCCGCACACGTCGGCGCCCACTGACACAGTAGGTGGAGCTCCCCATGAAGCAACGATACGTTCTGCCGGGTAGAGGCGCGGGGCCCGGGGTTCTTGGTGCCGTGTGGCCGTTGACCCTAGAGCGGAGGAGTGTCGAGCAGGTGGCGCCGGATATCCAATATGGTGTGTTGGAGGATGCTTCGCATGAGACATTCTCAAAAATGGGGATGTTGGAGAAGCTGGTTTAGGCCGCTGGCTCTAGAAAATGAACCTCTCGCCTGATACATCCTGACAAGATCGAGAGGATGAGATCGCTCGCGAATTAACAAGTTTGTCAAGATGAAGCTCCCGCCTGGGACATCCTCACAAAAATGGGATGGCTAAACAGGTGCGTCCCGACGTCGCTTATAACAAATGATGTTTTCGCTGCAGACACCCTCAGAAGAGATACATGTACAGTGAGCTTGCCAATTCGACGTATCTTCAAAAACGGGGCTCTGGCCTAAAACATCTTCAAGAGGAGAGGCTGGTAAAATTTGTCTGCTATGAACTCTTATTTTGAATCTGGCTTCCGCTAGATATCCTCCGAAAGTTGAAATGGCCAGAGGACTTGAGAAGGTCTGGCTTCCTGAAAGATGAAGCTACCGACAAAGACATCCTCAGAACATGAATGCGCACAGAGAAGAGGTGCATCCCGATGACTTTCGCAGGGTCCACGCCAGGCAGCGTTGTCCGCTCTCGCTTTGCTTCCGCGTTCGCTGTCCCTCGCTATGTCTTCGCTCCGCCTTTAGGGGGCCACATGCGAACCCTACCCCTCCCCCTCAGAAATCATGGGGGGTTAGGGGTAGGGTTCGTATGCGGCCCCCTACTTTTGCTGCAGAATGGCATCGGCACGAAAGCGGTCTTCGAGGTCGCCAAGACACCGTTCGGCTCGTCCGCTCGGGGGGCCGTCCCCCCCACCCAAGACGGCCCACGAGCAGAAGGGCGCGCGCGGGCGCCAGGGCAGCGAGGCCGCACGCAACCCGACCCTGGACTGAGGCGGCCCTCGCCCCGAGGTTGAGAGTAAGGGACAGCGACGAGGAGGCAGGGTGGGAGGAGGAGGAGGAGGAGGAGGAGGTAGGAGGAGGAGGTAGAAGGAGCAGGAGGTAGGAGGAGGAGGTAGAAGGAGCAGGAGGAGGAGGAGGAGGAGGAGGAGGTGGAGGTAGGAGGTAGGAGGGAGAGCAGGAGGAGGTAGATGAGGAGAGGAGGAGGAGGAGGAGGAGGAGGAGGAGGAGGTAGAGGATGAGGTAGGAGGAGCTGGAGGAGGGGAGGAGGGAGGAGAAGGAGGAGGAGGTAGGAGGTGGAGGAGGTTAGGAGGGAGAGCAGGAGGAGGAGGAGGAGGAGGAGGAGGAGGAGGTAGGAGGAGGAGGTAGGAAGAGCTGGAGGAGGAGGAGGAGGAGGAGGAGGAGGAGGAGGGAAGGAGGAGGTAGGAGGTAGGAAGGAGGAGGTCAAGCAGCGTCATCCGCCCTCGCTCTGCCTCCGCGTCCGCTCCCTCGCTATGTCTTCGCTCCGCTTTTTGCTGCAGAACGACATCGGCACGAAAGCGGTCTTCGAGATCGCCAAAACACCGTTCGGCTCGTCCGCTCGGGGGGCCGTCCCCCCCCCAAAGACGGCCCACGAGCAGAAGGGCGCGCGCGTGCGCCAGGGCAGCGAGGCCGCACGCCACCCGGCCCTGGACGGTGGGAGGAGGAGGATGAGGAGGAGGAGGAGGAGGCGGATGTAGGAGGAGGAGGTAAGAGGAGCTGGAGGAGGAGGAGGAGCGGAGGAGGAGGAGGAGGAGGAGGAGGAGGTAGGAGGGTAGAGAGAGCAGGAGGAGGAGGAGGTAGTAGGAGGAGGAGGAGGAGGAGGAGGAGGAGGAAGAGGAGGAGGAGGAGGAGGTAGGAGGTAGGAGGAGGTAGGAGGAGGAGGGTAGGAGAGGAGGAGGAGGAGGTAGGAGGAGGAGGTAGGAGGAGGAGGAGGAGGAGGAGGAAGAAGACCAAGAGGAATGAGGATGAAGGGGGACGAGGAGAAAGATGAGGCTCGTGGCAACCCAAAAACGCCCCGGGCACCAGACGCCGGTCCCAGGAGCCCCCTGGGAGGCTCTAGGAGGCCCCAGGACGATGGCGAGCACTGCGGGTAAGTCTGGTGCGAAATCGAGGGACCGCGCAAGAGCACGTAGCTTACCAGCCTCGAACGTATCCCTATCCCTAAGATTGACACGCCAAAAGTCGACGACAATCTTAGGGATCCGCCCTCAAAAAATAAGGGAATTCCTAAGATTGACATCGTGATGAGGAGGTGCCCAGCATAGGGACAGGGACATGTTCCAGGCTGGTAAGTAGCACAACATGGCAAAGATTGCAGGATCAACCTATGCCACGCCTTGACAGCACATACACGTCAAACTGTTGCTTGACTTGGATTTCTAACCCTGTTCGTGGGCCCCTCCAACTACTACCCACGGAAGCCGAGACGCCACCACGTGCACCAGGCAAACCCCGAATCGCACGAGGGCCAACCTGCAACGGGCGAGCCAACACGCAAACCTATCCTGTGCAGATACAGCAAAATAAACGCCACCCTGACAACCGAGCAGGGTCGTTCTGCGAACATGGCCGAAACTCGGGCCTCAGAAACACGTGGCAAAGCTCTACGCAACATCACGTAAACTCGCACGTCCCAGCAAACTCAAAGAGAGGAGGAAGAGGAGGAGAAGGACGAGGAGGAGGAGAGTGAGTGGACAGCGTGGTTGCCAAATTTGCCCGCCCAGGTGGGTGGAAGCACGTTGTGTTAGTCAAGCCCCTATTGAACGGCCCAAGCGGCCCCATCAACAAATCCAACACAGACCACACGGCCAGATCTAACAATCCGACACTATGGGGCAAGGATCTGTGTGAGAGATGTGCCGAAATGTGCGCGGGCTCACATGCGTCTGCGCCCCCTGAGGCCGTATGTGGGCCCCCTACTGGGCAACGATCTGTACGAGGGGTGTGCAGAAATAGGCGCGGGCCCGCAGACGTCTGCGCCAACTAAGCCCGTAGGTGGGGCTGCCCATGGGGTAACGATCTGCGCAAGATGTGTGCCGAAATGGGCGCGGACCCGCATACGTCTGCGCCCACTGACACCGCAGTGGGGGCTACTCACGGGGTCACGATCTGTTTGAGGGGTGTGCTGAGATTGGCGTGGGCCCGCATGCGTCTGCGCCCACTCAAACTGTAGGAGGAGGAGGAGGAGGAGGAGGAGGAGGAGGAGGAGGAGAAGACACTAAGAACAAAAAACGGGAGGGGGAGGAGGACGGGGGGGGCGGAACAGGCGGGACCAAAGGAGGAGACACACGGCGCTGCGTACTCAAACCGCGGACCCCCAACCACACTCGGGCACACGCGAACGAGCACAGATTGCCCTCGGAACCCGAAGCGAAGCCAATGCTGCGCGCTCCGGCGAAAGAGCGCGTCGATGCCGAACGGAAGCGGTTAGAAGGCAGAAACTGCACCCCGATAACAAGCACCCCGACAAGCGAAGCGGTTTCGCAAGCGCGCCCAGGGAAGGAATCGAACAGGGCGGGGCTGTTTCGTAAACGCCCAGGGCCGTTTGGTGAACGCCAACTGTCGGGGTCTCGGTGCTTTTTCCGCCCTTGAACGGGACCCGTCGCTGACCCGCGCGCGCCTCGTCCTCTTAGCCTCGCCCTCGCCCCCCCCCCTCCTCCTCCTCCTCCTCCTCCTCTCCTCCTCCTCCTCCTCCTTCCCCTCCTCCTCCCTCCTCCTCCTCTGTCCTCCCTCCTCCTCCTCCTCCTCTCTCCTCCTTTCCTCCTCCTCCTCCTCCTCCTCCTCCTCATCCTCTCTCCTCAATCCGTATTTGCGCTTCCTGGGGGCGCGGCTCCGTCTCCCAAAGGCGCGCGCCCCCCCCCCCCCGCCCAAGCAGCGGAGGCAGGCCGTCGCTGGCGGCCGCGCAGGCGTCACGCGTCTCGGCCTCCCGCCGCCGTCTCTCGGAGGGCGCCCAGGCAGGACCCGGCCGACGACGACGATGACGAGCCTCCATCGCTCCTCCGTTCATCGCCTCCATCGCCTCCCCTGCCTCAGCCACCCCCTGCCTCCACTGCCTCCCTCCCTCTCTCTCCAGCCCCTCCCTCGCCTCCCGCGCCTCCCTCGCCTCCCCATCCCCTCACTTATTTCTCCCGCCACCCCTCGCCTCCTCCCTCCAGTGCCTCCCTCCCTCCCTCCCTCGCCCCACTCTCTCCCTCCATTCTTCCTCGCCATCCTCCCATCACTCCGCCTTTCTCTTCCACTCCCGCCATCCATTCTTCGCACCCTTCAGTTTCCTCAACCGCCGCCACCTCCCCACCCACCCCGAACCCTGCCTGCCTCCTCAAAGGGTCAGGCAACGGACATCGTCACACTCCTCGTTCGTGATCTCCCTCTCTGCTTCCTCCTCCTCTTCCTCCTCCTCCTCCTCCTCATCATCATCATCATCATCATCATCATCATCATCATCATCATCATCATTCATCATCTTCATCTTCATCCTCATCTTCATCATCTTCTATCATCATCATCTATCATCTCTCCCCTCTCATCCTCTCCTCCTCATCCTTATCCTCCGCCTCTTCTCCTCCTCCCCCTCCTCCATCTTCATCCTCATCATCATCTTCATCAGCAGCAGCAGCAGCGCATGACATCTGCAAGCAGCAGCAGCCAACCGCAGCAACAGCTGCTAGCATCAGCATCAGCATCATCATCATCAGCCTCATCATCAGCATCAGCAGCATCGTCATCATCAGCAGCAGCAGCATCAGCATCATCATCAGCATCATCAGAATCAGCAGCATCATCATCAGCATCTTTATCAGCATCATCACCGTCGTCATCATCATCAGCATCATCATGATCATCACCATCATCAGCAGCAGCATCAGCATCATGTTCATCATCATCACCACCATCAGCATCAGCAGCAGCATGACAACCATCACCAGTTGCATCATCATCATCATCATCATCATCATCATCATCATCATCATCATCATCATCATCATCATCATCATCATCATCATCATCATCATCATCATCATCTTCCTCCTCATCCTCATCCTCCTCATCCTTCTCCTCCTCCTCCTTCTCCTCCTCCTCCTCCTCCTCATCATCATCATCATCCACATAGACCACATCATCTTGCTGCAGCAGCTCGCAGCAAGCAGCATTGATCAACCGCAGCAGCTAAGGCAGAAGCAAAACAGCAGCAAAACTCCAGCTGCAATCAGCGCAACATCTTCATTCATCAGCAGCAAGCTGCGCTGCATCGTTATCATCAGCAGCAGCAGCAATCAGCTCATCATCAGCATCATCAGAATCAGCAGCATCATCATCAGCATCTTTATCAGCATCATCACCGTCGTCATCATCATCAGCATCATCATGATCATCACCATCATCAGCAGCAGCATCAGCATCATGTTCATCATCATCACCACCATCAGCATCAGCAGCAGCATGACAACCATCACCAGTTGCATCATCATCATCATCATCATCATCATCATCATCATCATCAGCATCATCATCATCATCATCAGCAGCAGCAGCAGCAGCATCGTCATCATCAGCAGCATCATCAATTCCATCACCACCACCACCACCTACAGTATCATCATCGTTATCATCAGCAGCAGCAACATCAGCATCATCAGTATCATAATAGTCATCATCACCCATCATCAACATCATCATCACCATCATCATCAGCAGCATCATCATTACCATCGTCAGCATCATCATCATCATCAGCATGATCATCAGCAACAGCATTAGCGTAAGCATTCTCATCATCAGCATCAGCATCATCATCATCATCAGCAGCATCATCATCATCATCAGCATCATCGGTAGCAGCAGCATCAGCATCATCAGCATCATCAACAGCAGCATCGGCATCAGCATCAGTATCATCACCATCATCACCACCACAACCATCAACCTTATCGTTGTCGGCATCCTCATCATCAGCAGCAGCATCATAAGCGTCGGCTTTATCCTCATCATCATCATCATCAGCATCATCATCATCGTCCGCATCATCATCACCGTCATCATCATTATCAGCAGCAGCAGCATCAGCATCAGCATCATCATCATTATCACCATCGTCATCATCAGCATCACCATCCGCTTATGATCATCATCAGCAGCATCATCAGCAGCATCATCGACATCATGGGCATCAGACGAATCAGCATCGTCATCATCATCAGCATCAGCATCAGCATCATCAGGAGCATCATCATCGTAGGCATCCGCATCGGCATCGGCATCAACATCATCACCACCACCACCACCATCATCAACATCAGCATCATCATCAGCAGCAGCAGCATCCACATAATCGTCATCATCAACATTATCCTCATCATCATCAGCAGCATCATCATCAGCAGCATCATCATCAGCATCATCATCAGCAGAACCATCATCATCCGCCTCCACCTCCATATCCGCACCCGCATCCGCATCGGCAACCTCCTCCGCATCCATCTCCTACTCTTCCTACTCATCCTCCTCCTCCATCTCCCTCGCCTTCCCTGTCCTGCGCATCCTCTTCCTCCCAGCATTCCCCATGCAGCCTCCTCCTGCTCCCCCTCCTCCTCCTCCTCCTCCTCCTCCTCCTCCGCCTCCTCCTCATCCTAATCCGCGTCCTCATCCCGAGCATCATCCTGATCCCCGTCCTCATCACCATCCTCATCCACCTCCCAGCTCATGATCACCCTCCTCATCTTCACTCCTCCTACTCATCCTCATCCTCATATGCTTCCTCCTGCTCCTATTCCTCCTCCCACCTAGCCATCCCGACCTTACCAACATCTTTGCCAGACCTCCCCGTAATCCTTCTCCTCCTATTCCTCCTCTTCCACATCCTCCTCCTCCTGCTCCATCCTTTTTCCCTTCTAAACCTGATCGGACAAGAACGGGAAGCGCCGATTTTGTCAAATGGGCTCGTAGGGGGATGATGAAAAAGGATGATGACAACGACAAGGAGGCGGATGACGAGGATGACAGCGTGGATGGTGGGGAGGGCAGCGAGGGGAGCAGGAGGACAATGAGTAGGACGACAAGCACGAGGACGAGGAGGAAGAGATGAAAGAGGACACGCACGAGGAGAAACGAAGCAGAGAATGAGGAGGAGGAGAAAAAGGACAATGACGACGACGACGACGACGACGACGACGGAGGACGGTAAGGATCTCAAAAAAAAGGACGTCGAAGAAGGAGGTATCCTGGTGAACTGTTGAGGCTAGCCTGGAGGCTGCCGAGGCCGCCTGGGGCCTGCCTTGGGGCATCCTGCGGGGCACCCCGGGGGCCCTCTCGGGGCCCTCTCGGGGGTCACGTCGGGGTCCTCTTGGGCAACCTGGGCACGCCTTGGGGCCTCTGCGGGAGCCACCTCGGGCCACCTCCCTCTAGTATTATGTCGGGCGTGTCCCCCTACAGGGGGATTTTCGACGAAAAATGAAAAATGCCCCAAAAATACACCAAAAAGACCAAACAATAGTCAAAAAATAGTCCCCATAATATCTTTGGACTTTTTTTGACTATTTTGGGGGTATCTTAAATTTTTCGTCGAAATCCCCCTGTAGGGGGACAGGCCCGACTTAACCTTAGTGAAAACGGACTGGGACCAGAAAGGACGGCCGCGACGCCCTCTCGCGAGCCGAAAACGGCCAATTCCTTGATCGACGTGTCAGGGTAGGAGGTCTATCCACCTCCGAGTCCTGGCGCCATCTTGGGCCGTCCTTGGCTGCCCAGGGGCCCCCCGGGGCGCTCTCCTGGGGGCCTCTGCGGGCCCTCTGCAGGCATTCCGAGGGGGGCCTTTGGGGGGTGGGCCACGGCTGGCCCTCTAGAAGCAATTCCAAGACGGTGTTGGTTCCGAGCGTCCTCCGGACCTACTCTTAGGTCGGGCATGTCCCTCTACAGGCGGTTTTTGGTCGAAACATGGAAAAAAATAGCCAAACAATACTTCAAAGATGCTCAAAAATAGTCGAAACAGCGTCCCAGGACTATTTTTCAGTATTTTTGAATATTCCCCCTGTAGAGGGACGAGCCCGACTTAACCTATTTGGTGAGGATGTCTGGAGCGAGACTGCCATTTTCCAGAAATCTGGCCAGGCAAAGAAGAAAGCGTCGCTGCGTCTGCGACGCCTGACGGAACGTCTCGTCGAGAACTATGGAACCAGTCCGATGTGTTGGTCTGCCGTGCTGGTCTGAAGCGTTCTGGTCCGTCGTGTTGGTCAGCCGTGCTGGTGTGCCACGCTGGTCTGAACCGTGCTGGTCCGTCGTGTTAGTCAGCCGTGCCGGTGTGCAATGCTGGTCTGAACCGTGCTGGCCCGTCGTGTTGGTCAGCCGTGCCGGTGTGCCGTGCTGGTCTGAACCGTGCTGGCCCGTCGTGCTGGTCTGCCGTGCGGGTGTGCCATGCTGGTCTGACCCGTGCTGGCCCGTCGTGTTGGTCGGCCGTGCTTTAACGGGCGAAGAACGGTATAAAATAAACTTTTTCGCCGTCGGGGGCACCTGCCCCAGAGCGGCTGGAAAGTTTATACCTTTACGGTGGCACCGTAGGGGTATAAACTTTCCAGCCGCCCAGGGGCAGGTGTCCCCGACGGCGAAAAAGTTTATCTTATACCGTTCTTCGCTCGCTGAGTGCTGGTCTGCCGCGCGGGCTGGTCTGCCATCTGCTGGTCTGCCGAGCTGGTCTGCCATGGAGGCCTGCCGTGCTGGTCTGCCGTGCCGGTCTGCCGCAGTGCTGGTGCGCCGTGCCGGTCTGCCGCCGTGCTTGTCTGCCGCGCTGGTCTGGCGTGCTGGTCTGCCACGCTGGTCTACGGTTCAATCGGGCGTGTCCCCCTCCAGGGGGATGTTCGACGAAAAATAAAAAAATACCAAAAATACTTCAAAATGGCAAGAGATACTCAAAAAATAGTCCCCAGACTATTT